ATATATAAAATAAAAAATTATAATTATTTTAAAATAAATATCACTTTTTTTAATTAATTAATATCACTTTTTTTGTATTAGCAAATAGTATCATTTAAAGAATAAAAAAATCAGACATTTGGGTCCAAATGATTCGCTCCTAACTTTTAAGGCGTTTGGGTTAGTTATTCAGAGTTTTGAATTCTACCAACATTTCAAAAAATTCTTCTCCCCTAATCCCTTAAATTATAAAGTGTTTGAAAAAAAATTAAAAACGAAAAAAAGTTATTAATTATACGTTTGTTAGCACGACGTATGATAGTTTTATTTTATTTTATTTTTTTGATAAATCGTATGATAGTTTTACTTTTTTCTCTTTAATCCAGCATACGTGTAAATCAATAAACATCAACTAATTTAATGCTCTGCCAGCATACCAGGGAATCTTGTTAATGAACATCATCCTTGTATTTTAATTTTTTGTGGTAAGATCCTTGCCCTTTAAATAACGAATGGCTTAGGTAGCATGAAAATGATGGCCAAACAGAAAACAAGTACGGCCCCTTGTTAACGCAAAGGCCTAAATTGAATTTTGCCCCACTTCAGTTGGCATTGTTATGGACATAAAAATATTTATGTTAACTTCAAGTAAAAAAATTATTTATTTTTACACATTTGGTTATAAAATATATAAAATAAAATAATCCTCTCATTTTCTCAATTTTCTCTCCATTCAATTTTTTTTTAAACAGTATACAATTTAGGGGATGAGGAAAAAGAGTTTTTAAGACGATAATGAAACTCGAAATCTCAATCACCTCACTCAAATACTTTAAGATTTAAGATCAAACTATTGAACCTAAACGCCCGACTCTTTCTCCACGCAATTTAATACTCAAATTTAGAGTTAAAATATTTGTGATGATGTAACCATAACTTCAGTTAAATGCTTGGTCAAATTAACATTCATTATCTAATTTAAACTTTCTAGGTTTCTTACATAAGAAAAGTCGTCATGTACTGTCCCCAGTTAAACCTGCGTGCTCTAAATAAACACCTACTGAAAGTACAACGTGCCGTACGTAAGTCTACAGACAACTACTAAGCAACAACCCATGACGAAAATCGTTAAAAAATTCCTTTGAATAGGTAAGCAAAGAGTTTTCAAAGTCGACGGGCACTCCAGCGACACGCAAACAACCGGTAAACAAGAGCTTTTAGTTTCAAAATGAGACAAAGGATTTAAAGGAAAAAATATGTAAACTGGAGTTTTCAGTCCACGTGTTGACGCCGAATTTGTTCATATCCTGACGAAGAAATAATTAAACGTAAGCAAACCAAAGGGTTGGTCGGGGATTTCATCTTTTCTCACTTGGTTTCAGAAACGCGGAAATCCTAGTCAAAGATTTTGATTATTAAAAAAT